ATAAATTTATAAATATAATTTAACATATTTATTGATATATGTACATACATTGATGCTGAAATTTCTATAAATAACAATTTAAAAAGATTTACGTATTCTACTAAGTTTATTCTATAAAATTAAGTAATTTTTATAAAAAAAAGTTTTCATTAATTAAAGAAACGATGTGCTATGTAATTTCTTGCTTTTAAACCATAAAGTGAAATTTTTATATAGAAACTAATTTGGATTTATGAATATATTGAAATTTTTATTCATAATTCTAAAATAAAGTATAAAATATATATGTAGAGATAGGTGACAGTAAACATATGTACACGTTCAAAAAAGTATTAACTTTTATTAAATGTTTCTATACAATATTTCTTCAATACATTATTTCCATAATTTGGAATATTCATTAAATTAATTCTGCTATTACATATAATAAATAAGATAAATAAAATATTTCTTTCAACAGTAAATAAAAATTATTTGCAAATAACTAATTTAAATTAAAATAAAGTTAAAAATTGGCATAATAAACATATGTAGAATAATTTATTTAAACACACATGTAGAAATTGTTATATATTAAAAAAAACATACATATATAATAACATGTAAAACAAATCAAAGTAATCCAATGATAGATATATCTCTGTGATAAAAATTAACTTGTTTCAGATGGAATTTCTTAAAGGAAATTTGTATTCAAAATTTCTTTATTGTACCCGTCTTTTTTTTAGTGACAGTGAACATAAAGAAAATTCTTGAATTTTACTTGACGACTGTAATACATGGTCCTAAAATTCGAAACTTAATAGTATTATAAAACTAAATTATAATATACCTATATAAAAATATACAAATACACTCTGATGAAATAATTTAATAAATTAAAAATCGTTCATTTATTCTCAAAATATTCGTGTTACGAATTCAGAAAGTGACATCATTATCTTCATTTTCAAATATTTACATAAGTTTGTGTAATCAGCTTTTTTCAAGTACAACTTTTAATTCTTTGTGTTATTCCTTTAACAGCGTGCGAAAACTTTTACCGGAAGGTTTCTGAGAAGAAACAATCTATTGTTTTCGCAGTAGATCGTGATTGTTAAGGAGCCTGAACGAAACACTTCACATCATTAAGTTTGTTCTATGGCCAACGACATTGAATAAGCACACGACCTTAATTAAAGTTGAAATAATATAGCAGCTCCTATGTTTCTTGTATAGAAGTGCTATACAAATTTTTACTTTATAAAGATTACGTGTAAAAAGAAAGTTTAAATTAAGATTTTCTTCAAAATCAGCACTGAAACAAATATAATTATTAATACTTTTAAATATGCTTATACGTGTAGAAACATACATATGGGTACATATAATGATTTTTAAACTGAGTTAAAATATTTCAAAATTTTATAAAATTATTCTATACGTATTACATTCTATGAAGTTCTTAATAAAGTTGTTAAGTTCTTAGTAAAATTTTAAACTATATAAAAATTAGTATTCTATTAAATAATGCATATATCCTTGCTCTCTGAGCTAATATTCATTTCAAACCTTTTGCTGGCATTCGTAGTGGTGTACTTTTAGAATTAAAAACATTTTGTAAGGATTAAAAGATTAAAAAGATGAATCATAGTTGAATGTATAGTGAATAGAGTAAATGACGTGATACGTCTTAAATAAAATTCCTCATTGATACATAAGAGCTAATGTCATTTTATTCAGAAATGAAATCTCTTTTATTGACTATTTCTATGTATACAATGCAAAAATAATGAAACTAAATCTCTGATATACTTAGTGAAAATAATATATTACGAATTATTTTAATGAAAGTATAATCTAATGTCTCTAATTAACGTCTGAATTATTTGTCAGAATTTTTTCAACATTCAACTTTGCACAAAACTAAAGAAAATCGTAACAAAATTATATTAATAATAGTTACAGTAAAAACATTCATTTTACAGAGACAATAAAAATCAACCTCAAATCCCGCGTAACGACTGATTACTATAATGACTAATTTACATAAAACTGACAGTTTTGTAACATTGAGGATGAGAATCTTATTTATTTGTTGACAAGAATAGTGTGAGACTAAATGTTCAAGATCACGGTTACAACATTGTATTCGCACGAAAGTTATATACATCGTCCTATTCTTTTAATTGGTTTTAGATGTGTCTTTTTTTTTTCTCCAAAATTAAAATTTGAATTGAAAATCAATATTCTACATACAAACAAATTAATACAAACGAATTAATTTTGTACATATATTAGTATGTTTAACACGTTGATTGCCACTTTACACTTTTTTCTCATAGGATAGAATATTTAAGTTTTATAAAATTATTTATGTAATAATAAAAATGTAATAAAAGCGTATAGTTTATTTTATACTATACTATACTATACTATATTTAGTATTATCTAGTTTTGTTTAGTATTATCTAGTTTTGATTTTAATCGCTCTAAAATATCTATAGTAATCGGTGTCTATCGTGGCAGTCATATGTTAACTTTTTACTAAATTCATTTATTTATTATTGTTAAATATTAACAACTATCAAATTAGGAACAATTTAACGTTTTATTATTTGGCACAAATTTATAAATAATCTTCGTCCATTCAAAATTTAAAACATTGATTGTTAAAAAACACCACCAACTTTCTCTAAAACTCTGAACTATAAAAAGAGAGAGAATCCTTTTATGAAAGGACATACTTGTTCCCTCCTAATTCTTTATTGTTTAATTTTTACTTTCGAATTTAAGACACTCATCTTTTCATACATTATATAAGTGGATTTTCTAATGACACTGAATTATACTGATATACAAAAATAAATGTACGGCATAATACAATCAGGAAGCTTCTTGCTGCTCTTTTTGTAATTTTTGTAATTTTTTCTTTCGGATGATTAAAATTTCTACTGTCCACATTATCACTGTGAGTGTCGTAACACAATTTATTACAATTATGCAAGGTATAAAACTTCCAAAATTATCACGCATTATACCTGCAACAATAACAGAAAGAAAAAGTAAAATATAATTGTATTATTATGCTTATTAGATGATATGTAATATTAGGCTTAGCTAAAATTTGGGAAATTTTAACAATTTTATCGTTATATTTATTTTCGCCCGATATTCAAAGTTCAATGAAGTGGCGGAGATTTCAATCTTCAAATCTATAGATTCAGTCATAAAAAAATTTTTACATACTATAACAATTTATAGCATTTCTGGGAAGAAAAATGTTTTTACTTTTCTACCTGCTATATGATACAAAAACATCTTAAAGTAAAGTTGAATGATGAATTTTGAGAGTAGAGCCTTCAACTCTTAAAATAAATCCAGATTTATTGCTATATGATTTCTTTTTTTTTTTTACCGTTTAAATACCTAGTATCCGAATATTAATATGAGTCACAAACTACATATTGTTATTGCAAAGCATTTCTTCAAAGATTGACTAATAATCAAATTACAGTAATAACTCTTGCATTCTATAACTAATTTTAAACTTAATTGCTATAGTTATAAACATGTTTAATTAACCGATTATCCAAACAATTTAAGTTTCAAGACAACTTAAATTTCTTTGTATAAATTATATTTTTTATACAATACATATTTAGTATAATATGTTTGTATAAAATGTTTTTTTGTTAAAATTACAAAATTTCGTGCATTGATTTTTCTTCGAAATAATATAACTCTCGCTCTAATGAAGAAACACTCGAGATATTTCGACTGTTACACCATTCGAAAGATATTGTATCAAAGAATAACTCGTTCGTGGTTGCAAAGCAATTAAGGCGAAGACTTTATTGCTAATCGAAAGTAGAGCTTTCCATAAAAATAAAGACCTTATTGTTCGTATCAATAGCTAAAAGAATATCGGTTCTTAAACTCTAAAACGTGACGGATTTTATTACCATTGCTGACACTCAACAACTGTCATAGAACTTTCCCTCATTTCACAAAGTCAAAATTATCTTGATTTCCAAACTGTGAGCATCGGTGAATTTAAAAAGATAAATAATATAGACAATTAAAATAATTTATAATACAATCCAAATAGTTTCTTGAAAATTTTTTTTTAGGAAATTTATCCTATAATAGAACCTCGTTTGTACGAATCAGTTAATGCTGGCCATTAAATATACAAGCTCATAACTTTTGCTGTCCAAACATTGGCTTTTATTATTGCAACAAATAAAAATATTTTTTGAAGATAGTGAACCTCTCATATTATCTACATGGCCTTGTTTCTTGACATGTTCGGATAAACAAATGAGACTATATGAAAATTTGAAAAGTAAAAAATTTAGTTATTAGTTTAGAGACGAAGTTAATTAAAAAAGATTTTTAAATAGAATAAAAGATATTTCAATTGAAGAATGAATGGATAGTCTAAATATTCTTCAATATTTAATTCTTTTTTTATTATGTTCATATAATTCATCATTCATTTATTATTTTTATATAATCTTTAGAATATTGTGCCAAAGTTAGATTAGAAAAACTGAAACACTATATTTATTTTGCATATAGTATGTATACCATAAAATAATTTAAATCGATCTCCTTGAATATTTTCGGAACTATTGATTAAATCAAAAAACATTTTAAATGAAAGATTTATAAATTGGAGAGAATGTAATAACGTTTTTCTTAGATGAACACACAAAGAATCTATGAAATTCAAATACTATTCGTTATTTCCTATAAAAGAGTTATAGTACAGACCATAATACAAAGTATCACAATATTGAAGATACAACCAAGGAAGGGATGATTCTATGTAAAAAAACAAGCTGAAAGTATCGAACAAGTAAATTTTTAATCTATAATAAAATTCTTAATTTATTCATTTTTTGTACTTACCAAGCATAGGACCAGCAGACAAAAGCATTGCTCCATTTACAATCATTTGAAGTCCTGATGCATTAGGTAACTTATGGATTGGCACGTAACAAGGTATTACCAAGCTCATATATATTGAACGTATTCCTTTAGAAGCCCCCAATCCAATAGCAACGATTATCAGCGAAATAAATCCATTTACGAACAATAAAGCTGCAATAGAATTAAATAAATTCATGTTACGAAATATGAACATATAGTAAAAAATATTCGATATTAATAAAAATAAAAATAATAACTATTTCTAACGATTTCTATCTATAATCTGTACAAATATATTTTTCAATACTTAGACTGACTTACAAATAGTATACAAGTTCAAACTCAACTTTTCTATTAAATAAAATTGAGAGAGTTATATAACAATTAAATACTTGTAATAAAAATAAAAATTTAAAAATTAAAAAAATCAGAGATTTAAGTATAGTAAAGCTAATCTCTTATTCGAATACTTTAACATCCGAACGTTCTACATAGAACGAATATTTAGCAATAATACGTCTTTTCATGTATTAAAATATTTTACACGTATTATTATTACATGTATTATATATGATTTCATATGTATTATTCATGACTGTAAAATAAATTTGCTAAGGTATTAGAATTTAAATTGTACAAGATTTTAAAAAAATAACACAGGACAAATAAAAATACTTCATAAATGTCGAAAACCTAATTTTCCTACAAATTTCGATAACAAACAAAAATGATGAGAATATCTACATACGTTAACACATTCAACTACAAAGGAATGTAATTTTGAAAAATTACTTATACTAAAGAAAATTGTATAATCCAATAACCCAAAAAAATATAGGATTCTTAAATATCTAAATAAATTGATAATTTTCTTAATCGTAGTCGGATATTAATACTGAACTTAAATACTTCATTCAATGTGAGGAAATTTTATTAACATTTTTGTCTCCCTATTAATTGGAATACGAAAGTACTATAAGTTCTACTGTACTATAAGTTATTAATACGCACGTGTTTGTTTGGAAAATTAAGCATCTATATTCATAAGACACCACAAATTAACTTCTTTTTTAACAAAGCAATGCTTGTTAAATTTTATTTTATTTTTCGCTTATCAAGTCTCATCTTATTTTTATATAAATATTTAT